GTTAGTCTATTGTTTTTGTGCAAGTATACGCCTGTAATCCAAAGTCTATTAGACTAAAACTAATCTAAATTTAAGTTAGATCAAGCTCCAATTAGCCTAGGGAAAGCTCTTCTAACAAGCTAAGTGCTATCATTCTTTCAAGTCACAATCTCAAACTCAAGAGTTTGGTCAAAATGAAACTTAAGCATATCATTGCATTATAGTATCACTCCTTAGTTGGTAAAACTCTTAAAAAAAAACGCTACTAAAGCAAACAAAAGGCGGCCAATAATAGATTCTTTGAACACTAAATAAAGTCAAAGAAAGTATTAGTAATCTGAACCTATCCAGCTATACAATATTGAAGCACACAACGCAAGTTGATTCGGGGATACTTGTACTACATTCATGTCTTTTTCTTGTCCAAATTAGTGAGGACAGAATATAGATGATTATCTTTGATTTTCACAATATTATACTAGTATAAATCTTCTTAAGAAGTCATCCTAAATGTAGGTGAGTGTTATTATAATGATTAAAGCCAATGTATAGACTAGAGGTCAATCCAAAAATTATAAACTTTTTTTTTAAAAAAATCATTGATCATTTCTTTTTAATTTCATTTATTTAGCTGTGTATTTAATATAATTATTCCAAATAAATAGAAATAATAATTGATAAAAATCTTATGAATAGATTATAGTGAATACTCAGTATAATATATTCCAGGTAATAACGTTTCAGATACTATTTATAATAGTATTGTATACAACATGTATAGTCATCTCAATCCATTCATACATAATGAATAAATATGATTTCAAGTATAGTTGTGCACATTCAATGAAACATCTTCTTCATACAATTACTCTTGAATTAGAGTTTTCTGAGTTGGCCACCACTTTTCTGGATTGGTTTATTGAAACACTCTATCATAAGTACTATTTGTAGCATTAGCCATTTATTAGTCTTGACTTGAATGTAGTATGTACACTAGTACTCATGATTTCAAACAAGCAATCCCATCTAATTATTATGTTTGTACTCACTTTGCAACTCTTTTAATTAACTCAACAAAGTATCTCTTCAATTTCTACCATGTACCTTGTCAATTTATCATACCAAGTCATAGTGTACTACGATTACGACATCATTATTATGATCATTTGTATTCAGTGATTCACTTTGTTTTGTTTGAGCTTATCTCATCTAAGCTTATTAGAAATAGAGTATTATATATCTGTACTCAATTCAAACGACATGTTTGTCACCTCTAACACGATATGTAGAGTAACAACCATTGCATCAAGTAGAAAATTTTGATCATGGAATTGAATATGAATTGAGGTGGGGGTGACTTTCCAGGAATATTGCAAGCTGGCAAAAAAGCATTGATTACCTGGAGCTTAGCTGGAAAATGTAATACGAGTACCAACAAATTCGAGTAATGAACAATTTCTCAAATTTCTGAATCCCAAGCCCCCACTCTTCCTTCCTACTGGCCAACTGACCTACTCCCCACTTCTATATGTTAGTCAAATGATCATTACTCTCACTAATGCTCTGTCTGACTAAAATTTCACAAAAAACAAGTCTTAATTTTAGATTTAATACCATTTAATTTATTGGTCCAATTTGGATTATGGAATAATGTACTTTCGCTGATTTTTTAGTCGCAACTTGTGTTTTTCATTTTTCATTACATTATATTCAACCATTTTATATGAAGATGTAAAAATGAATATGACATATTCAAGAAGTTAAAAGTGAAAATAAAGTGTGAAATATATAGTGATCGATGCTTAACTCTGTTATGTATATATTACAATACTCTGTAATATATAAACACAAGATACATTATTTAATACCGACATAAATTTTTAGTAGTAGTAAGTAAATTATTTACTCCCTTTATTTATTTTTTATGATCGTATCTGGAATGATACATGTAAATACAAGAATATGGAGATTTTTTTGAAAATATTAGGATGAAGAAAATTATTTACTTAGATCTTGAGAATCAAGTAAGGAGTACATAAGTTGATACAAAAAGATGTACAGTAAGTAAGTCAGTAATATATAAAGTATATTAAAGTTACGGGAAAGGGACAAAGTTGAACACTTGAACCAATAAAAACGAGAGAAGAATAAATTAAGCAACAATGAAATGATTCATTTCTCTTGACTTGAGTCACACCTGAATCAAATTTAGGTGATCATACTCAAATCATGTTATCATGGTTAGTTCACGTCAATTCAAGTTAGAGAAATAAGTCAAGTTGTCATTAATTAATTTGGTTTATTTCAAATTTGATTAGGATCATATTCAAACATTATTGACAGCTAATGTATCATTGAAAAACAATGACGAATTGAATTTTAATCATTTTCTCAAGTCAAGTTTTCTATAAATCGATTTTCTCAATTCGATCATCGGTTGGTTTATAAAATCATTTTTTTCTAGCCAATTCAATTTTATGTGCAAACTTATTGGCACATTTTGCAAGTTCATCTAGTATTTATTAAGGGGATAAAATGTGGCATAGCTACACCTACCTACAACATTATCATGCAAGACACAAGTACAACTTAAAGCTAAAGGAGAGGCTTGAATCAACTTGAACTTATTGTTCTAATAAACTCTTTAATTAGCTAACCAATTTGCAACTCTAATTCCTTCCCTATGCACATGTTTAACCTCGACATGGCAATTTGGATTTGCTAATAAACTCCTGCAATAATGTGTAATAATATGAACACATTCACCTCCATACGATCCTGAGACTTTTACTGGAATCACAATAGATTTTTTATCCTAGTAATTAAATAAATGACGAGCATGTTTTGCATGCATGTCTATCTAGTATTTATAGGATGTTACATATACAGGCTATTATTGCGAGGTTGTTGTGGTTTGTGTTGTAATTACACTCTATCAATTCATTTATTTCATCCGATTTTCTTAAAATATATACACATACCAATATATATACTTTCTGTCTATGAATAAGATAATATACCAAATTATTACGTACCAACACCATTGGTAATTTCATTGAGATATGTCTTAATTAGGCAGCGACGCAGTGTGCGTGCAATGTTAAGTTGCCTTCTGTGGATGTTAACGTACACGATATTGAGGGTTTAACACAAACGTTTTTGTAAGATAAAAAAGAATTTGCAATAAAGGAACGTACAACTAACTCATTACTTGTTTTGCTTGTATTGGTGTACATTTTCAAAGTTTTAACTTTGCATTAACTTTCCCCTACTTTTTGTTCTTTTTTCTTCATTGCTTTGGTTGTTTAGCATCAATCACTACTAATAGTTTGTTTTATTAGACATGATGTTCATGTTGTGGCCTTGTGGGTATTGGTTGGGGTCTTGGGGAGTTTGTTTAGAGCCGGTACGTAATAGTACATATGTGTCTAATCTAATATTGAATGTCTGCATAATAATATACGTTGTCTATCTTTGGGGTGGTTCGAGGAAACTCGCTCCAATCGTAAAGTCAAATATGGTTTGATATGAGTAATAAACTAGCTAGATACTAAATAAAGCTCTTGTAATGCATAGTTCGTACCTTTTAGAAGTCTTTGTGAGGGTTGGTTATTTATAAGCTTAAGCATCCCAAGGCATGCAAGCGCTAGTAAGGGTGGGGCATGAGATGAGTCATGAGGCTAGGGTTGTTGTCAATATGGCATGTAGTGTAACGTCTTTAGATCGGTAAGAGCCTTCTGGCCGGTAATGTACTTAGGTTTTAGGAACTCAACATTATATTTAGACCATAATATCAATATCGGTAAAACACTCATTCACATGTAGTATTATGTAGAAAAAAGTGAATATAACACGAATTAATTAATATGAGGTAAGACGATAATATGCACGTAATTCTATAATTAATAAACAAAGCGATCAACCAATGACTACCACTAGTTTTGCCAACCAGTGATTGTGGCTCTTAATTGTTTATACAACTCATACTAGCACTAATCTATTTTTTTGCATCAAACGTCTTTTTTCATTTTGTTTGTAACACTAGATATTTCCATTGATGTATGTCCTGGGCCTCCTGGCTAGGGTATTTGTCAAAAAAATTGACATATTTATAACATGTCATGCACTCATGTCTAGATATTTCCATCAAAGGCGTACTAGCTCCGGTCCAAATTAATTTTGGGGGTGGAATTTATCTTGTAGCTAAATTCATAAAAGTGTACGTACAAGTAGATAAGGGCTCGAAGATGATGAGACAACCAATGGATCTTTCATTTTTGGACCATATATATACTTGTATAGTTGTATATAGTTGTATGTAACTGATTTAGACTAGATTTCAGGTTATCCTGGGATCGATTCTCATCACTCGCTCTTGTGCAGTGGCTCTCAAAACACCAAAAAAAAAAAAAAAAAAAAAAAAAAAACTAATTTAGACTATGTTGCTATGTTCAATTGCTCACTCGTAAACCAAACCAGCTCATTAGCATATCGATGGCACCTTTCTAAAAAGAGTAAGTTTAGATGACTAACAATAATAAAGAGTAATAATGAAAAAGATTATGAAAGCGAATATACTCTCTATCAACCAATCTCACTTCAATATTTACTACTCAAAATTATATATTCTTCCGTATGTCGTTATTGGTACAAAATGCTCTAACCATCTTAGGAATTTAAATAATTTTTATGGTCATTCATCACAGTAGATTAGGTAATTGTAATCCTTATTATGTTAGTTATGCTAGATGTAACGTGGGTTTAAATATGTACGTAACCCGCAAAATAGTTCGTTATAGGGTAATAGTAACGAGTGTCTTATGTCTTGTTTACAATAACTGTCCAAAAAAAATTATATGTTGGTACATGCATGTTCGATGCTTGGTATATTTGAAAGTCTAGCTACCCAATTGTAATGTTTATCTCTAAAATTTTGTAAATTTTACAACCAACATCATCACATTACAACATGGCCATAATTACCCCCCAACCATCCTCCTATAAATAGACACCACTTCCCTACTCTCATTAGTCACTCACAACTTACAATTCTATTCTTTCTCTATTTATTATTAAAAGCAATTCTTTTGCTATTATTAAAAATGGCTTTTCCCAAAGCTTTAATTGCTTCTCTACTTCTTTCTCTTCTTGTTCTTCAGCTTGTTCATGCATTTGAACCAGAAACAACCTCAAATCAAATGGTATGTTCAATTCTATATTTTTAATAATATCATATAATTAATTAGTACCAATTAGTGAAATTTTCTTTATCTATCTTATTACATACGAAGTATATGGTTAATTATATTAATACAAAAATTTATGTACTATATATGTTGCAGACTAGCAACACTGGAAATGTCTCTGGCAGTAAAGTGGGTGAGTTTCCCTAATCTAATCTTCATGAAAAGCTCCCATTATTTGGTTATTTTATGCAACATTTACTTAAGGAAATGAAAGCTTATGCTCATTTCTTAGGAAATTTAGTAATATATATACATATGAGGAAAAAAAATAAAAATTCTTAAGTGTTGTTCAAAATTTACATGTTATTTGATTATTAGGCTAAGATTTTCTGTTTTCCTATTTCTAAATAGTTGTGTAATGATTAATGTTAATATATGGGTATGTACAATATATGTAAAATGTTAATTTGTCCTTAATAGCTGTAAATAGGGTTATGAGTAATAATGAACCTCAAATATAAATTTTTAGTTTTAGCTTCTAAAAAGAATTTTTTTGACTTTTATTATATATTTTATTTCCTAATCATTGGTTGGCTATCGTTGTTTTGGCCAATTGGGGGCATAATGTGCATGGTTAATTTTTTTAATCATTATAATTGCATGTACTTCAAACTTTCATGCTCTAGATTTTCACATTGTACGTCTTGTATGTTTATATATATAAGTGAAGACGATAAGAGATGTTATTTTATTTTGAACTACATTCATTTACCTAATATTGTATGTTCTTTCGGGAATATATTGAGGTACACATATATATTTTTCATATTGATGTATATCTCATATCTCTAACAATTATGCTCTTGGATGAATTAAAATTTTCACAATCGGACTACTCATCATTAGAGTTTTACATAGGAAATTAAGGAGATTAGGGGAGTTTTACTTAACAATGAGGGACTAAATAAGCAAATTCTCTCATTTTGCGAAATTTCACTAAAATTGAAATTTCTTTTGTAACAACGTGTATTTCGATGTCAACCAACCGATCATAAATGTGACAGGAAATATTGATTTTTACTCCAACAGAATTCTGATGAAAACAATAAATAACTTTTACTGAGCATTTAGTTTTGAAAATGGTACATGCAGATTGTGGGGCAGCATGTGCAGTGAGGTGCAGCGCCACAAAGAGGCCAAACCTATGCAAGAGGGCGTGCGGAAGTTGTTGTAGCAAGTGCAATTGCGTACCACCAGGCACATTTGGCAACTACGAAGCCTGTCCTTGTTATGCCAGCTTGACCACCAAGAATCAAGTGCACAAGTGCCCTTAAATTATCCGGATCGGACTTTTGTGTTCAATCAGGAACAATAAAGTCTTATTTCTAAAATGATTTAGGGTCGGAAATCTTATTTATGCTACTAGTAAAATAAATCTATTTTGTAAACACGGTTCAATTCTTATAGCTAGCTAGCCAGTGGTATGTTTAGTCATGTTAAGCGAGTGTAATCTAGATAAAAGTTCTTGTCCATTGTTGTACTATTTTGTATAATAGCGTATAGTGAAGTAGTTTTTTGTAATCTGTCGTTACTATATTTTATTTGATGCGTATTTATATTCCTTTTTAAGGGAATTAATGCTATGTAATGTACCACTGTTTGAAAGCTATTTCGTAGTATGGAATAATAAATTTATTGAGGTTACATATTTGTTTGGTGATGTGATTAATTTTGAAGTATTTTGTTGCTAGGGTTAACACCAATTTACTTTATTACTAGAATTGGATAGTTTCAACCATATTATTTTGTGTTGGAACAATTTAGGCGTAATTTAATTAATTGATTCAATTTCTAAGTGCAAATCTGACAATGCGAATAAGGTCGACTTTATCAAGTCTACCTACCAAATTTACTGTGCTTAAAAAAATTTAAGAACCATTTTAGCATTATCAATGCATTCACACATTCTATTCAATAATCGACCAATTCTATTATCCTTTATTATAGTTAGACATATGAATTCAAAAGTGATGAAAGTTTCTAAACTCATCTTCATCGAGACATGATAATGTAATGCTCCACATATAAGCTCCTTTCTTAAAACAATTCATGTACTTTACCAATGTTAGCTAGCTTGGTCTATTAATAATTAGAACAATACACACCTTAGGGCAACGACTTATCATATGTTACACAGTTGTGGTTTAATGACTTTAATCTACTAACTAGGTTTACCAATTGGTTGTTGGTGCAGTGGTGATTGAGGCTGCACTTGATTGGGAGGATCACGTGCTCGATCCCCCGCAACAACAATTGGATAGGTCTAGAACTTAACTACCCATAACTGAGCCCCGAATCCGTATTAGCTCAAAGGATGAATTGAAAAAAAAAAAATCTACTAATCAGGTTTAGACCAATCATCATCTAAAAACTTGATTTGAAGGCCAAAAACATCATTTGTTGCACCCACAAAGCTTTAATGCTTGCTCTTAACCAACCTTGCGTAAGGCAATTGCTTCTTCTTCCCTTCCCTCCAAATTTGAAATTTTTCCAGAAAACGCAGAATTACCACCCTTTTTCTACTCTGTCTTCTCTCTTAAACCTCTGCGATAAACCCCAACTTCTCAAACAATTCCATGCTAGGTTAATCCTCCATGGCCATCACCAAAACCTTTCTCTCACCTCTAATCTTATTGAATCCTATGCTAATTTGGGTCTCAATAGCCTCTGTTTTCATGTTTTTAATTCAATTTCTAATCCAAGTTGGGAAATTTACAACAGGGTTCTTCGAATTCTTGCAAAATCTGGTGAATTTAAGGAAACCCTATTGTTATATGATAAAATGGTTTCAAATTCTATGTACCCGGATGAATTTTCATACCCATTTGTTTTGAGGTCTTGTAAGCATGTTTTGGATGGTGATTATGGTAGAAGGGTTCATGGGCATTTGGTGAAACTTGGATTTGATGTAAATGAGGGATTGAGGGTGGGTTTAGCTGAGTTTTATGGCGAACTTGGCGAGTTTGAGAATGCACGTCAAATGTTTGATGAAATGCCTGTTAGAAGGCTGGATTACTGGAATTCTCTGATTGTGGAGAGTTTACAAAATGGGAATGTTAGGGAGATTTTTGGGGTGTTTAGGCAGATGATAAAGGAAAATATTTGGCCGAATTCAGTTTGTTTGGTCAATTTGCTGAGAGCTAGTACAGAACTGAACTCTTTGAAAATAGGGGTATTGGTTCATGGTCTAATTGTTGTTAGTGGCCTTAGTGAAGATGTATCTGTGTGCACTGCATTGATAACTATGTACTCTAGAATAGGTAACTTAAAGAATGCGTATTTGGTGTTTAAGATGATGCCTGATAAGGATCGTGTCGTGTGGAACTTGATGATTTCAGCATATTTTCGGAGTGGGCAACCTAGAAAATCCCTGGAGTTATTGGTGAAAATGTCTAATGAAGGGATAAGAATGGACCTATACACTGCACTTGCAGCCATACTGTCAACTGGTGAGTTGAAATTGCTTGAATGGGGGAAGCAAATCCATGCTCATGGCATCAGAAATGGCTTAAATCATCAGGTTTCAGTTCAGAATTCTTTGATAGATATGTATAGTAAATGTGATAGTGTGGAAGCTGCCAGAAAGGTTTTCAACTTGGTGATAGAGAAGACTGAGGTTTCATGGAGTTCCATGATTAAAGGATTTGTTATTCATGAACGATATTTTGATGCCCTATCTCTATTTGCCAGAATGAAATGTGATGGATTTTTGGTTGATTCTGCTGCAATTGTGAGCATCTTGCCTGCTTGTGTGAATGCTGGTGCATTGGAGCAGTTGAAATATATTCACGGGTGCACCATCAAGTATGGTCTGCTCTCTATACCTTCTGTAAATACAGAATTACTGGCAAGTTATGCTAAATGTGGGTGCATAGACATGGCGAGAAGGCTGTTTAATGAGGAAGAGATTGATAATAAGGATACGATTACTTGGAATTCGTTAATAAGTGCATATTCTAAACATGGAGAGTGGCAACAATGCTTTGATCTTTATGAGCAGATGAAGCGGTCATATTTCAGACCAGACTCAATAACATTTCTTGGATTACTAACAGCTTGTGTTAATTCTGGTCATGTTAATGAAGGGTGGAAAATATTTAAGGAAATGACAGAAACCTTTGGTTTCCAACCTAGTCAAGAACACTATGCTTGTATGGTGGATCTGTTGGGTAAGGCAGGGCATATTGATAAAGCTAAAGAGCTAATAAACTCGATGCCCATTAAAGCAGATGCCCGTGTATGGGGTCCGTTGTTAAGTGCTTGTAAAATGCACTCAGAGACCGAAGTTGCTGAGTTGGCTGCTGAGAAACTGATTGAAATTGAACCAACAAATGCAGGGAACTATGTACTGATGTCTAACATATATGCTGCATCCGGAAAGTGGGACAAAGTAGCAAAGATGAGAAGTTTTCTGAAAAATAAAGGTCTGAAGAAGACTCCTGGCTGTAGTTGGCTGGAGGTTAATGGAAAAGTGCACGAGTTCCGAGTTGCTGATAGATCTCACCCTAGATCAAATGAGATATATAAAGCTTTGCAGTATATAGAGCTCGAAATCGAGGACAATATAAAGGCAAGCCTACCAAAGCCATAGTTTATTGAAGATATTGAACATTAGACAAGAGTAAAAAGGCTTTCCTTAACACTATTTTATGGAAGAACTCTTGTCCAATCTCCAGGATTAAATGTTTTAATTCTAATAATTCTATCATTGTTCATTTTGTATGCGAGTTGGGAGCAATGTATAGAGCGAATAACAAGTGTTAACAAGACAGAAATCAAATCCAAATGAATAATTTGTTGCAATGACTGGACTTCATGCCCGTCTGTTCTTGTTATACCATTTGTTGAGCAATTGAACATTATGTACAAAAAGACTAGCATTCCACAATGTTGCAAGGTGTGAAATGTATCATTTATATCAAAGTTTCTTAAAGGCACCATTCCTTGTAAAAGCCAGAACAAAAACTTATTCTTATTTTCTTGCCATTCCTAAATTTCAAATCGCAAATTAAACATAAGATTGTGCATAATCTACAGAACTATCTAAGTGTTGCACAAAAAGTTGCACAAGATATAGTTAGGACGCATCTGGGAGTAGTGCTCACGGGTGATGCAAAACTGCAAAAGATAAGTCATACGATAAAGAATCCCTCTTCCCCTTTGGACAGTCGAAATATCATATGGGAGCACATACTTTCGAGAGTACCTTACAGGTCCTTCTAGCAAGGCAGGTTCACTACTTCAGATTACCTGCAAAAGGAAGAGAGGAGATTTATTTTCATTACTTGATAATATTTATATTTCAGATAAGAAATCAAATAAATAAATCGCAAACCTTTTGTACAAAGCTTTTACATCTTTCCTAAGCTGAGGATTCTGCAAGAAAATATCACAACAGTCTTCTAAATCAATGGATTCCAGTTCTAAATCCTTCTTCTTAGAAAATTCATCCCACTCGAACCACATTTTTGCTATTATTTCTTTCTTAAAACAAGTTCTGTGGTCGTCCTCTTCAGGAGAATCAACTGCAACCAGTCTATAGGTAAACACTTTTTTCAGTTGCCCTGGCCTAAATGCCCGGCATACTGCTTGCCAAGAGACAGAAGGGTTTGGATGAACATCAAGTATCAAAATACGTGATGCTCCAACAAGTGATATTCCTTCCCCACACGCTTTAATCGATCCTAAAAACACTCTAGCATTAGGTGAGCTGTTAAACTGTTCCATGGACCATTCACGGTGTTCTGGTGTTGTTTCACCTGTTATCATGAATATTTCCTTGCTGATAGCCCAACCTTTGTGATGCACTGCTAACCGCTCTAAAAACTTCAAAGGCAGGAGATACTGACTGAAAACTAGCAACTTTTCTTTTGCAATTTCACATAAACGTAGCATATTGAGGAAGAACATGGCTTTCACCCCATCAATAAGATTCATTTTCTTGATCATTTGATCCAGTTTCTCATCACTCATAATCCGATTTTCTTGATTGCTTTCGTTACTGCTCCCAGAGAACTGCTTCAGCTGGGGATGCAAATATACTGCACTTCCCAAAGAACTACTTCTGAACTTTCTTTCCTTCAATTTCTTCATCTCATCAACTTCAACCTTTTGCTTCGGGCTAAGATTGAGCAAGACCGTAAAGTCTATGAGTCCTGGTAACTCATCAAAAGAGTCACCTTTATAATAGTGAAGAACTTGGCTTGTCATCTCACGCAAATCTTTTATGATCCCAAGTTTTCTTTGTTCATTATCATCATCAGTCAGTGTATTTTCCACTAATTCATAAAAAGCAGCATCCCCTGCTCCTGTCAACTGTTTTCTGACCCCAGAAATCTTAACTTTGCTCATAATACGCCTTACTATTACACGATTACGCTCTAACTTCAGAAATTTAGGCTGAACAAGGTTCAGAATGTTAAAGACTTCTATGACATGATTCTGATAAAGGGTTCCAGAAAGCACAACTTTCCGAGGTGTCTGAACTTGGGTTAGTGAGTGCAGCGTGTCAGTATTTTTATTCCTTGGCGTGTGGCCCTCGTCCAATATCATAACTGTTGGAGCTCTCACCAAAATTTCTTTACAGGCAGCCTTTTCATTGCTAGTAACATCACTAGTCACAATGGAAGAGAATTGCTTGTACCCTAAAAAAAGAATGCTCTTCTGCTCAGCCCATTGCTTCAAGACATTCAGCTGCTGTGAACGACTGGCTGCCTTCACCGAGTAGAAATCATATAAGGGAATATCATCAAGTTGCCACCTCTGAAATTCTTTTTTCCATGTGCCCAAAATTCCTTTTGGGAGGATTACTAATGGTCTAGCAGAAGGGTACTTAGCGAGATAGCTTTGCATGAAACATATGATCATAAATGTTTTTCCGGAGCCAGGAGCATGAGCCAAAATGCAACCATGTGGATTCTCAGTCACCAAATTTCTAAGCAGGAAATTAAAACCCTCAATTTGATGGGGTTTCATCTTTTTAATGTGCTCCGCGTGAGCTATAACTTCAATTACACTTTGATCCATGTTCAGTAGGTTACACAAGTCAGGAAGACTGTCAACTGGCTTGTTATCTTCAGTTTTATGGGATTCATTTTGGTATCTAGACTTCATCCTTGTTCTCTGTATCAAGAAGAAAACTTAGATCAGATAGTACTAATTTGCAAAGATGTAGCGGAAGAAAAGGATCTGATGCACAAGAAATGGTTTTTCACATTGATGGTCACTTCGAAATCAGTCAAGGCTAGTAAACACAAGAAATGGCCTTTCACCACTACAAGATTCACTGAAGGTCATAATAGTAACCAAAATCCTACACTGTATATATACTACAAGAAGGGTGCATCTTGGTCAACCAAAATATTAAGTCACAAATAAAATTATCATGACAATGCAAACAAAGAGAAGAATAAGAAGTAGAACAATGGAAGTAAGCATCTGAATTTAAAAATAACAGGTTGTGCACTTTAAGTCAAGCTCAAATGCTCACACTATATGCAAACTCTCATAAAACTCCTAATCAGAATTACCAACATACATATGTTAAAAGAAGAAACCTGAAGAGCTTTGTCTTTACCTTTGGATAAAGAAACTCAAACATATCTTGTATTCCCTTTTGCACAAGTCCACACACTCGGCAAACATGGCCAATATCATCCTTTAAGATATAAGAATGGTCACAGTCATCTTCATCTTCCTTTTTTTCTTCATCGGAAAACTGATTCTCAGGAAATTCCTAGAATCATATAAAACCAATGGGAATCATCAGACTATAACTACGTCTATAAATAGTCCTATCCTCTTATCTAGAATGGTATTAACCCCATACACTTGATACTCAGGGTTTAATGCTCAATCAGTAAATTCTTAACAAAAGCACAAGAATACCTTACAAGATTCCATTGCAAATTCCATCTCCTTCCATATGTTGGCAACATTCTCATCTTCAGAGTCATTTTCAGATTCATCTTGAGTTGCAGTATCCTCCTCAACCCCTATGTAGCATCCTTGCTTGATTTCAGGAGACGTATGATTTACTAGCTCCTCAGAGTCCTCACAGGGTGTAATGGCCCCTAAACAACCGAGGGGAATTTCAATGAAATACATTTGCTTATACATTGAAGTCCAAAGAAACACCAACATAAAATATGTTTATGCAATGTATGTTGAACTGTTGAGAGTTCAGAGCAATAATTTAACCATTTTCTGTACAAGACTGTTTACCATTTCGGTTTCTGTCTACCTGCGAAACTTCATTAGATACTCAATTTTTAAAAATCAGCCAAACCTTGTTCTTATGTGCCAACCTGTTGACACTAACTAAGGGACAAGTCCAGAGAACCTTGTTTACTAACACTTGTAAAAGGGACTTAGAAATGGAGAGATGCATAAGTCCAATGCCTTGTGACCTTTACAATAACCTTCTATGATAAATATAAAGCACACAAATAATTCAGAAAAAGGAGCTGATCTGAAGTCATGACAGAGAAAAATAAAGCAAGGTGTATATGCATCACGGCACTCAAGCACAACTGTAACAAGACAGGAACATTTCAAAAGAAAATCTACCTGCAATAATTGCATATTCAACAAAATGAATGTAATTTGCTTGAAGTAGAAGTCCTACCTGCATCTACTTCTACTCCTCCTCCCGTGTTTGAATCGATTTTGTCAATGAATGTTGGATGATTAATTTGCTGACTGCATCCAATGCTGAAGTCTGTAGCAGGATGCCAATCCATCCTTTTTTCGCGTAGAGCTAACATTCTCAAAAGTCTGGCTTTTTTTTGCAATAGTGCATTTGGATCACTAAATTCAGCATCTCCATGATTGACAACTGCTTTTATTTGACTCAATAAGGACAACCTTGCAGGTTGCATCTGCTTCATCTTTTTTTGACGAATTATTTTCGCTCTCATGATTCGAACAGTCTTGTGAAATTGTGACTTTAAGACTTTGTATTCACTATTGTCACAGTCCATCCTGTTATGCATGGTTTACTGCATACCGGAAACCTAGTAACATGTGAGAATGATCTTCAGTAAGTCATACAAGTATCATACTTCGTAATACTTCCATTATTAAATCTATACAAAGCTCACTTTGAAGTAAAAACTATACTCCCTCTGTTGTTTGAAGGATTAGCCACATTTCTATTTCATATTTCAAGTCGTCCTAAAGTAAATATGACGTACAATAATACTTGGAAATGTAAATACAAAGTGTTAACAATCTTAACATAGTGATTAGTGAATGATGATTAAAATTTAACAATAAATTGTCTCAAATCCTTAAAGAATGTCTTATAAATCAAATGTGGCACATAGACATAAGATAACATATAAATCAAATTTAACAATAAATTTCCCGAACAATCGGGTTTTTACCACTTCCAAGGATCACAAGAAGCATAATTTAAACATTCAACCAAATGACTACTCGTACTTACCAACTCACACAAGTACATGTAAAACCAACCACGGCCATAAGTGTTACAACTTACATCATATGATCATAAAATTCGTGACATTGTTTATTTTTATTTTTTTATACAAAAAATTCATGACATTGTTGAGGACGACAATTTAGGTAAACCTAAGTAAAAATATGGTAACTTTATAATTTTCATTACGTATTAACAAAAATTTATGGACCCATCATTCCATGAAAGCCAAATTTCAGCAAACCCTCAATGTGAGTTCAGGGTTTTAAAAAAAATGATTCTTTGATCTTTATCTGCTAATAATGAATGAAAAGGTACAAATTTTAAACAAATTAGCAAAATTCGTTGCTTCAAAATGCTGAAAAAGTTAAAAGTAAAAAAGAGAAATTAGAAATCTTCACTCACCAATAGAAATTGCGCCAATAATTAACCAAATGCTTGTAGTTTTCGAGATGATTATAACTTTTAATTGAAAATTGAATTTAGGAAGAAATTCTCGAGGAAGCAAAAAAAAAATTCAAAGGAATATCAGTCGACGACGTTGGTCAATACTTGAGTGACCCCCCTTTTTGCGCTTCTGATGTTACACGTCTTACATCACCACGTTTTTATATAACTGTAGTACTTTGGACTTACTAAAATACTGAACATAGTTTGATTATTGTAATTGATTCATTTCACACCTTTATTGTTTCAAAGGCTGGTCATTTAAAAAAAAAATCTCATATGTTTTTTTCCAAATTTAAATATTTGTTGCAATTAAAAAAACGGGGAGTATGACACTGGAGGAGTAAATCC